TTTTTACATGACCTACATATCTTGTTCTTGGACATATAAGTTTGAAATGACCATGTTTGAATTCATTTTCAACCTGTAGTGTTCCATATTAATGCCTCTATTATTACTGAACAGTCTGAAAACACTAATGAGATTAGCTAATGATGCTAACAGTGATTTTTATATTTATTTTCACATCCTTAAGGAAAACACTGGCTCATAGGAAAATCTAGTACCAGTTTCCTGAGAAAAAAAAACATAAAGAATATCTCCATCATTATTCCCTTGTGCCTACATTTATGCAGTTCTTAATCACTTAAACACTTACTGACATTATCCAGGAATAATTTTATCAGATGCTACTAAATGAAATGCCATAAAAAGTCTATTGTACCCACAATTTTCAGCCATATCCATGGCTCCATCAGTACTTCCAAGAAATCCATAAAAAACAAATAAGAGCTAAGTCTATTGTCAGTTTACCTAAATCTGCTATATAAATATCTCATCTTCATCAAAAAATTTTCAGCAGTTAAAAACTGACACACATTATAAAATAAATTTGTAATCTCTATCACTAACAGAAGCAAGTTTGCCATGCAAGACAGTATACTCTCTATAAAATATTAAAATAATGCATCGACTAAGCTTTAACTCTGTTACTGCTTTAGGTTTTCCCACTAAAATTCTGTATCAGTTTTTACACTGTTTTGCCCAGGTTTGCTACCACAGTCATTTGCTGTTGGCTATTTGGATTATTCTCAATTATCCTCTTGAATAACAGTGTATTTGACACTGTTATGGTATTTTTCTGCTTTTGCCAGGACAAGCAAGAGATTTTTTCCGGCAGCTTCAGATAGACAAAGTTCCAAAAGAGCAATGAAATTGAAAATTACTGTCCCTAACGAGTACTCTTTAAATATTTCACCTCTTTCAATTACTTTTAGAAAGGACTTCACAAACAAGTATCAGCTTCCTTCTTTTTAAACACAGACTTGAGCATCTCCTCGATGTTGTTTAATTATCTCGGTAAAATTAAATGGGACTTAGAAGCCCAAACAGAAACTCAGGAAGAGGACTTACTTCACTTAATCTTAATGTTTATACTCAATAAATTTGTCACCTCCTTTTACAGACAGTAGAATATAACACTCACTTCTCTAACACAATTCGTATAGAAAGAGGAGATAAATAGTGTCCTGGATGCATAACTATTCTATAAAGTGGGTTTCTGGAAAAAAAAAAAAAACAAAAAAAACAAAAAACAAACCACCAAACCAGAAACAGAACTTACATATAACACAGAAAGAGATGTTCATAAACAAATACCATACAGCAGATACTTGAAAACAGAGCTAAAAACTTGTATAAACTCTAATCTCATTTTACAGGCTTTGTTTTCCTGAAAACCTTGTCACCTCACACTTCTGCTTCAAGCCTAATGAATTGATGAAAATATGATGAAAAATTGATGAAAAAAATATGAAAAAGTAATGCTAATGCATTACAGCTGGTATAAAATACATAAAATATAAAATATACCAGCTGTTCCAAATTAATACAATTAATTCAAATGCACTTATAAGTGCATATTAGCTGCAGAATGGTATCTATGAGTTTGTGGATTTAAAATCTAAGAAGTATGAGCTTACCTAGAGCTAAAATCCCTGAAGCAGTAGGAAACTTAAAAAATTGTGATCAAGAGACAAAGCAAGTCATTTGAGATAGCACATTGTCTCTGGGAAAGAGAGGGACATTCTTACAATGTAAAACATCTTTTTAGAAAAGAGGGGAAAAAAGCTCTGGCATATTACAGCAATAACTTTAAAAGCATGGTATATTAACATACTACCTTCTTCACTTTAGTTCTTGTTTCCACTTAGTAGAATGAGGAGATCACCCAGGTTTTGCCTAAGCTTCCTCTGATAGGAGGTGAAGTAACATCTGAAAACAGTTTCAGGAAGTAACATCAATCATCAGTCATTCTCTGTAGTCATAAGTGTAAACAGCTGATACCACAACCCTGGTATATTAGGTGAGTTAAACAGGCTTCATACGAAATATGAGCAATTAAATAATCTTTATGTATTAGCTACTAACAATGGAAGCTATTACTCGAAGAAGATCAGAGGACTAGAGCAGAGACAGAGATGTGAACCAAAAGGTTCCAGATGACTGATTGATAATTCAGGAGCTGGAACAAGCTGTGTTTGTGTAAGGAAAGAAAGCAATGCAACAATCAGCAAGAAAGAGCAATGTTAAGCAAAGACTCAGTTCCCTTACCAAGAAAGACGATAAATACTCTTCTTCCCTCTTCCAGTAAATGCTGGAGCAAAGCTGTCATAGATATGTCACTAGGAACCAGTAAGTCAGCAGAGAAGTTATGTTCAAGGTGGGGTGGGGGGTGAGGGAAAAAAGATTGCTCTGCTGCTGGCAAAGAACTTAGCAAAGCAAAGAAAAAAAAAAAAACCAAAAATGCAAAACAAAAAAAACCCAAACCCAACACAATAGAAGTTTGTACTCAACGATCTTGTCCAAAAAGCCTAACAGTACCATGACAGCTAATGGCATTACACTAGAAATTTCAGTACTGAGGAGTTAAACAGCATTGTCCAAGAAATAGTTCCTACTTACATACAAGCTTACAGGTGGGTATTTCAGATGTTCCTCTTAAATGATAAACGTTGGCCTAAGTAGACTGAAAAAGCAGTTGAAACAACATCTTCTACATTTTCTGAGTCTTCCACCTGGTGTGCTTTAAAAGAAATGTCAGCTAGTACTCCATATAGTGAGCCCCTTCAAAAAAATAGCCGCTAGGTTAAGCAAAAGAATGTTTGGCTTACGGTCCTTATGGTTCCAGAGAAATAAACCCAATAGAGCCCATGGTGTTCAGTCTTGGCAACATCAAGACACTGCAGTGCTGTAACACAGAAGTAAAGGTTACATTCCTGGGAAAGTTAATATGAAAACTGAAGTTTCTATTGACTATAGCTTAGGGATACTGAATGTGTGTTTTTACTAAGACGCTTCCTCAAGCCCACAGTCTTCTCTGAACTAGCTTTCAAGCTTTCTTTTTCTAATCTCCACCCTGAAAGGAATAGGAAAACTTACTTTTGTGTTCATACCATATTTGTCTCGCATATTTGCAGTTGGTTCAGTTATGAGACGGGGAAGAGCTGTAAGCAGCAGCCATAGTCATGTATCTTCTATTACTAAGATAAGCTTTCTTAAGTGTCTCCCAAGATAGGGCAACAGTTAAAATTCAGTCTGTGAGATTATCTCAGATCAAGTTTCCTCCCTACAGTCCCTTCAAGGTTTTAGAGGACATTTTGCAGTGGTATTTTTCACAGGCTTGGGAACTGTAAGCAAATGGACTTGTTTGGTTTGTTTTTACCACAGTCAAGGAAATAATTCTTTGAAACAAAAGTACAATTGATCCATAGAGACATATGACATATCTTCAACTTCTCCTCATGGAAACTAATGAGTAAACTCCAATTACTGTTTAAAATAGGCTCAGGAAGGCTACAAATTTTTAAAATTTTTTAAAAAAGTAACAGCAGGGAAGGGGAAAAAACTCAACATGACAGGAGAAGCCTTATTGGCAGTCAGTGAGATTAATTCCAGTGGCAAATAGGTTGGCTTCTACTGCTCCCCTGCAATTTAGGAACCATGTCAGAGATCACTTAGGGTGGGTTTCCACTTTTATGCAAGACTTGCTTTCCAACTAGCCTTACTCATTATTATACTTCATGAATTAGTGCTGTAACCAAATTATTATATGAGTAGTCTAGTCATAGTCAAAGTTTGACTGCCTGTAAGCATACACAGAATACTATGACACATCTAAAAGGTTATGTCACCCTTGAAGACCTAGTACAAAAGGTAAGAAGTGGCCTCAGACTCCTTTTAATATTGATTTTAATATTTCCTTATTATTTGGGAAGAGAAGTGTACCCTTTTGTATCAATTTTGCTTAAGAAAAAGATTATTGATACAAAGTCCAAGTATAACCAACATGTGAAAACAGATCATGGAAACATGTAGTGTTCAAAATCACATTGCCCAAGAAATATTCTGATCTATTAAACCAACAACGTTGTAGCGTACATCTTAAAGCTTATTGGCTGGTTAGGAGATTAGCAAAGTGAAAATACTGTCAATGTTGCATTACAGGATAGTCACCATGTTGGTTAATAAAATGTCAGATAGAAATTTGTTGAGATGTCAGCTGTCTTCTCTCCGGCATAGACTAGATATGAAAGGCTGCTCTTTAAATCTCTAATGAATAACACGAAATCACCACTCTAAGTAAATATCAGAAAATGGTAATGCTTTAATACTTCAAAAGTGCTGTCAGAATCAAGTATGTTATATGCACAGTCAAGTTGTAGGTACAGTAGATTTCATAATGCAAAACAAATGAAATCATTAGAGGCATGTATGCTCCAATGTCACTTCAATATTTGAATTCCATTTTCAGAGGAAATGCAAGGCTTCAGTTCTTTCTGATAAAATATGTTCTATTGTCAAGCATCCAATTTTTTACGGCAATATTTACTAAGAGCATATGGGAAAAGACTTAAAAGACTGGGTTGCTTAAAAGAATGGGGCAGCACTACAGAAGTTAGTGGAATTTCAACAGGAGTTGACTCAAGCTGTAATGCATCATATGAATTGGATAATGAAGAATGAGTTTTTACAGTTTTCCAAAATAAAACTTACATATCAAGAACACTAAGGTGTACAACAGCAAAACAAAATCCAGTGTTTCATACTTATTCAAGCACGTACAGCAAATTAAATCTTCAAGCTATATGTGAACAAACACAGCTTAGTTTATGCAAGAGACTCATTTTCAGGGGAAAAAACCTGTTGACTAGTTACCAACAATATATTACACACAAATACATTTAGACCTTGAAATGATGGTCAAATCAAATCACAGCAAATGTACTTTATCACCCATGTAGATTAATTACCTTGAGGTTTTCAGGTTTTTTTTTTTTGTTTTTCTTTTTTTTTTAAATAACAGACATTTAAAAAAACCAGTGATTTACAAAAATACTGATAATGGCTCACATTTCTACCACCAGAACACTTTTGTCTTCTTTTGACCTTTTCTACCATCTTGACCTCCAGTAATTTTTTGAGTAACTAGATGCAGCTCAGACTCCTTTTGCATAAGTTCCATGGATAATATTCTCTGGACTCCATTCACTGCTAGATTTCAAACAGTTTACATCCGAAAGCTTCTGGTTCTATGAAATGGTTGAAAAGGCTTTTTTAGGGCCCACATCAGTATTGGTGGTTTCTGTTTAGTTTTTTCTGGAAATAGCACCGCTTCACTTTCAGGGGTAGGAAATCGTACTCTATACACTTCAGGGTAAGATTTCTGAAACTAGAAAAATACATCAATTTAAATGAAGAATTCACTCACACTTGTAATGTAAAAAAAAACTATTACAGTGCAACCTCCACCTCTGAGGCAGGAAAATTATTATTTCTCTAATGGACTTTCAATACCTCTATATAGAAAATTAGGCGATATTTTCTAATATGGCTTGATTCATCACAGTACCCCTATTCTAAATGATTAAAAAGTTTGAAATACCCAAGAGTACCTACTATTTTAAATCTCAATATTTCTCTAGAGGACTACATGTCTAAGACTTGATAAAGCTTTTTAAGTTAAAATTAAAGACTGTGAAGGAATTTGTATTTACTTGCTTGAGCTTCTTCTTCTTATCTTTAAAAGACATTTCTTTATTCATTGCAATTTCTTCCAATAAAGCTGCCAAGGGTTCTTGAGAGCCAGTTGCTCTTTGGTATTCAAATTCATCTGTACTGATTTGGTGACAAAATGATCGAGGAGGAAAAGTTGCATCTGTATCTGCTCCAGCATATTTTATCTGAGGAAAGAGTAAAAAAAGAGCAGCTATATTTTCTGCCATAAATTTGCAAAAACTGGCTTAGTCAAATTGACCACCTGAAGTCATTAAGTGGAGAAGATATGGAAAAAAGGCTCTAAATTATACCTCTTATTTCCTGCACTAATTGAGTGAGTTCTAGTAAGTCAAAAAAACGTGACACAAAGGAAGCCTGTTTAACTCTTGGAATAAGTTAAATGTTACTTTTTCAGTAGAAATTAAAGAATCAAGAACTAAAAAGCAGCTTTGAACAAAACAAAATACAGCACCAGGAAACAGAAAAAGAGTTATGAAAAAGATGAGCAAGTAAGGATGGCTCTAAAAGAAAATCAGAACATTAATGGAAACACTTGTTAACTATTCACCATTTTCCTCACTACCACAAACATAGCTTGCCCATTCCATGGAGAAGATAGTACTGACCACAGGAAAACATATTTTAGAGTTCTTGTCTCTAAACCATTCAAGATCTGCATTTAAATACATAGTTATGGTTGAATATCAGCAGTCAAAATTAATTAGCTCTTCGTAAGCTAGCAGAGGCCGAGAAAAGTCTTTAAGAACTGTTTGAACTTCAGAGCAGAAAGGAAAAATTTGATTTAGATGCACAGAATAAGAGGCTTTTTTCACTAGATACCTACTTGGACTCTCTGGAGATGTACAATATATTCCTCTATAGAACATTTTAAGGCAGAAGGAACACTTAAAATCTCTTGATAATTGTCCATGAGAAAAGATACTAGTTTAGCAGCAAGCAGTTCATCCAAGTCCATTTCATCCTTTGAGCAGAGAATACAACGGGAAAATGCCTGAACCATCTGAGAAAAAAAAATCCATCATCATTGCATATTCTTCTGTTTGGGGGTGGGGAGTGGGGAATCAGATTGCATTTAAAAAGTGATCTTTTAGAAAGAAGATTTTAACAGCACAATACTTACTGTACTTCCAACACACCAATATTAAAAAAAAAAAAAAAGTATTGTGTACAGTGACATTATCTGAGCGGACTAAAGATGGCTCTTGCCTCATATACATAATCTAACTCTGACTTTAGACTTAGAATGGCTAAATTCCATTTTATTCTCAAGACTTTGCCAAATAGCCACTTTACAAGGCTTTTCCAGTTAGGGCACAAATATTTCAGAGATTTTAAAAATAGCACAGGAATTTAATAGACATTAAGCACCAGAAGGAAAACTTAATACCATTACTTTGAAATCAACAACCCAAATTTCAGGTTCAGCTCACTTCATGTAGTCTCATGCTCAAGCATTCACAAGAGTTTTCTGTCTGTGCACCAGTCAATTCTAACATTAAAAGCACAGAAGGCAATCAAGGTTTTCTGTCATGTACCATAGATTATACTGCTGAATTAAAACTTAGTACAAAATACTTGGACTGTAAAGCATTCACCTCTAAAAATAACATTTAGATTATAACATAATTATTTTAATCAAAGACCATTTACATTTAATTAAATTATAACCTTAGCAGTAAAAAAATTTAATTATTTTAATCAAATACTATCCATAGTTAATTAAAAAATTAATTTCTATGGAACAAACTTAGATTTATGCATGCCACTACAGGATTTTTATGGAATGGCTCTGTTTTCTGTTGCCCTTCTTGCAAAAGAAAATTAACCAGAAGAAATACATGTTCTTAGCCAGTAAGTATTGCTAAGTTATGCCTAACAACTTTGTAGTACCATGCTGTTGCAAACATCAGTGATAATTCTACAAGTAGTCCTACAGAAAGAGCATTAGCAAAAACTAGGGCTTTGTAAAAATCTGATTAAAATTACTTTCAGAGATTTCTGTAGTTAAGTGATGAAAAAAAGTACTGAAATAAACTGGTGGGATTTTTTTTTTTTAAATGGCTGAAAACAAGTAAATCAAAACATTCAGCTACATATTTCTAACTATGACTGAAACAGGCAGTCTGTTTCTCTCCCATTGTCTGAAGTGATAAAGAACACCAGAGATGTCATCTACTGTTGTAGTTTTTTTCTTTTTTTTTTTTAATCAATAGTGAAATGAGTGGTGATTTAACTTGGAAAGATAAGGAAACCTCCAAATTCTGAGCAAATTCTTTATCTGCTCACAACTCACCAAGAAATCCCAATTTATTCAAATTCAGAGTAGCTTTCCACATAGCTAGAATGACGAACTGCTCTTCAAATAAGCAAACTGTATTTTGTATACACTCTCCAGTAAGAATCTTTTATCTGTGCTACTCCAAAAGCCTTATCTAGATCTTTTGCCTTACACTGTACGTACCACGGTTCTCGTCCTCACTGAATCAGAAAGAGGTGGCAAATCCTTGTTAAAGCTAATTCTTGCCATCATCCTCACCAACAGCTGTAGTCTTTTCCGATTTTCTGGTGGCAGCAGGAGACAAGATATCTGAAGAGCTTCTACAGCCTTGCTGTGTTTTTGCAGCAGACCTAGTTTATACGAGATCAGGAGATTGAGCAACATTTCTCAGTTATATATTTCCTTAACATTTAATATAACATTTCTAAATCTGTCTCCCCAAATTCCTTTCCTACTCATTCAAGACCACCTTAGAACTCTGCTCCCCAAGCAGTCTAGGAAGATATCCCTAGAACTGTACTACTAGAACTGGGCACCTTGTTTAAGTATTTACAAGATTTCCTTCTGATGCATTGGGAGATATTAATAACCATAATCAGCAACTCTAGATATTAGTAGACCTGAAAAACTATAATGTTTTGGTTCATCCTTTGCTCTTTTATAACCCTCAGCTCTAAACACAATTGATATGTATGCACTGATGTAGCAACTGCATAAAAAAGTTGTCTGGGGCAACAATCAGAGAATTTAAACAAAACTTGTGCTTATGTATCAATGACAGCTATGACAATACTGACGTCATCTCACACCTACAGAAGTTAGATATATGACTAATTCTACTTACAAACTCTTGAGAAAACACAGAATGTGAGCATGGCACAGATATTTGAGGACTGGATGGGCACAGTAGAATCTGATAGTAGTTTAGTTACCTATAAAGAGGTCTCACCACCAAAATGTCATCCTTTTTTGGGTTTCTAAGGCTTAGGGAAGTAAGCATCTACTACACATTTGCCTAAATAGCACTAGTATCAGAACAAAACAGAAGTCAGGAGCAAAATATCTGCATGACTGAAGTCTAACTGATTTCTCTTAAAAAAGGAACAAGGAAGTCAAAGAGATACACTTCTTTTTTTTTTCCATAGGATTATAGAGGTTGGAAGGGATCTCTGGAGATTAGCTAGACATCTACCCCTGCTCAAAGCAGGGTCATCTACAGCAAGATGCCCAGGATTATGTCCAGTCAGGTTCTGAATATCTCCAAAGATGGAGATTCCACAAACTCTCTGGACAATCTCTTCCAGTGTTTCACCACCTTCCAATTAAAAAAAGCTGTTTTCCTCTGTACAAATGAAAATTCCTGTATTTCTGTTTGTGTGCATTGCCTCTTGTCCTGTTATGGGATATCACTCCTCTCCATGCTAAACAGTCCCTGCTCTCAGCCTCTCCCCATATGACAGATGCTCCAAGCCCTTAATAATTTTTGTGGCCCTCCGCTGGACCCATGAATTAATGCTGAGGAAAGATAGCAATGCTTTTAATCCAGTAAGGATGGCTGTTGGTCATCTTTGCCACAAGAACACACTGCTGGCTCATGGCCACATTAGTGCTCACCAGGACTGCCAAGTCCTTCTTAGGAAAGCTGCTTTCAAGTCAGTCACCCCCAGCATGCATTGGTGCATGAGGTTATTCCTCCCCACAAGAGGACTTGGCCTTTCCCTTTGTTAAACATTATGAGATTCCTGTTTGCCCATTTCTCCAGTCTGTTGAGGTCCCTCTGCATGGCAGTACAACCCTCTGCTGCATTAACTGCTCTTTCCCATTTTGTGTTACCTGCACGCTTGTTCAGGGCACTCTGTCCTTGTTTAGGACAGTGTCCCACCATCCAGGCCATTAATGAAGTGTTAACGACTACTGGCCCCATTATCAGCCCTGGGGTACTCCCTACTGTTTGACCCCCAAGTGGACTTTGTGCCACTGATCACAACCCTCTGAGCAATTCAGCTGATTTCTAGTCTACCTCAGTACCCTCTTATCTAGCCTGTACTTCCTCAGTTTGCCTATAAGGATGTGATGGGAGACAGTGTTGACAGCGTTACTACAGCCAACAAACAGCATACACTGCTGTCCCCTCATCCACCATGCCAGTCAATTCCACACCGTGTAAAAAGTGGAAGCTGTTTGTTATTAAAAAAAGAAGTGTGCAACAGTAAGTAGGGCAGCCAAAACAGACAGTATTCCAAGAAAAGAGTGGTAAAGCACCGTAGTTCATTTCATTTTCAAAGCAAAGCTTTTTCTAATTTCAAAGAAAGATTTGGCAAGCACACTAGTACATATGTTTAGAAGAGGCCTTGAGAAATAATTAACCTTAATGGGATTTGTACAAAAAGCATCATTATAACCTGTGCAAAGAGCAAGTTCAATCTTAACAAGTTAGTAAGGTATCTGATGATCACTGACACCTTAGTCCTATTTTCTTAGCTATTCTGAAAACTAATTTCAGCCAACCTCTTGGAAGAGAATTGCTCTAGACAGTCTTCATGCAAAAACAGAAGTAAGTGAGGCATCTTCTTATGGTTACACAAGCCATCTATGATTTCTGCAAATATTTCTCATGTTTTAAGATAGAGCTTTTAGACAGCTACAAATCACACCATGTCTGCATCATCTGATAATACTTTCTTTGCCATTTCCTGAAGTCTTCCACTAAACAGAAATCTTGTCCACTGAAGGAAGAAAGAAGTCCTGTAACCACTGTGGAAAGGTCATAATTCCCTGAGGGTAGCAATGTGAAATGTCAAAGACTCAAAGACTGAAACCTGGGTTTATAAACGTCTTAAGACTGAGAATTATCACCAATTTAGCAAGCATACTCTGTTAAAAAAAAAAAAAACAAAACCAAAAAAAACCAAAAAACCAACACAGAAATGCAACTGGAGACATAGATTTGTTTTTCTGTATTTTGCCAATACACAACTTGCTACACACTACTGCTTCACAGGCAGCATTCAGTACTAGCATTGACACTTATAAAATAGTATTCTATGAAGTGTGCATTATCCTCTATATTTACCTACAGCTTCATAATAGTCTGTACATTAACCTCACTGTTAAGACTTACAATGTTCATTACATATTGAGCAGAACCCAAAACTTTACCCTTTCTCTCAGCTGAACCTCCAAAAAATCCCTTCCTCCTCCCTCTCTTCCCCTGCATCCAAGAATCACAGAAGAGAGTCTGAGTGGTTAAAGAAGACATTGCTACCAAAACCACAGATCAGGTGCCTCTGCCTTATATTTACTTGTTTATTTTCTTAGTATTGGTTCTAAGTACTTTTGAGTATAAAAAGGAGAGTTAGGCTTCGCCACAGGTATGCTGAATTGTCTTCTTGAACTCCCTCCACTAGCTGGATAGGGAGCATAGTCTTGAATTATAAAAAATGTGGAAAAGACACCAGGGGACCATCTGGCTCAAACCCATCCCCCAGTCAGTAATAGTACGTAACTCAGGTATCCCAAACCATCCCACTAAGGCCAAATGCAGCTTTTTAGCAATTCAAATACCTGTGTTAGGTGTCTGGAGGAGACTGTTTAGGCAAGACTTCTTAGAGAAATGTGACATTTTAAAACATATATTGCCAGTACTTTAAAGTAAATTTTATAAGTATGAAGAAGGAAAACAAACTAAGCAGTTCTTGAAAGCTTGTGTTCCCATGATTGTTCTGTGTAAATCTATTTTTGTAACACATTAACACCTCATTTTTTGTGAAAGAGACCACAAAAATTATTTATTTATTTTTTGAAACAGTGCAGGATTTCATTTCATTTCCACATAAACATTGGCGTGAATTCTTTCTTCTCATTTTTACATTTGTGAAATACTGCAAAATAAAACTCTTAATACAATGGAAAAGAAAACAAAAAGAGAGTATGAAGGGAAACAAAGAATTTTTAGCTATTATCAAGAATATCTGTTGTCTAAGAAAAAGAAGTCAGAAAAGGAACTATACAGTTTGAAGCAAGATTGTCCACTAACTGTCTAAAAATACTAAATTCCAGAAATAAAAGTGTTATTCTGAATTCCTTTTGCATCTCAATAGCTTATTAAAAGCAATGTTGTTCTCACTTAAAGAAGCTCAGAAAAATGACATGCTACAAAGCATGCTTAGTTTTCAGCTCGGTTGTTCTTTTCTGAAATGTAACCATAAAATGTAATCAAATATTTTCACATTTACTGTCTTTCAATGGGTCATCTATAGCTACAGGATAGGTGAATTTGATATAGTTTGAACCCTTAAAAAATTATAGTTAATAACTAAACTATTGTTTCTTTAAAGCACTAGATTAGTTAATGTCTGTTCTAAGTTTAAGCAATGAAGGATTTCAATTTCCTTCAGCTGTCATACTGCCAGGGTTAAAAACAGTCCTTACAGCCCTAATCCTTTTAAATCCAGGCTTCAGTCAAGCAATTTCTAAAAGCTTATATGAGTTGTTAAGATGCTTAGGCATTTGTAAAAGAAGAAAAATCTGTTAAAATCCATCTGTTAGGTGTGGCAGTGCTAAGCAATAAACAGAGCCCTTTAAAAATTATAAAGACAAGCAATGGAAGACTTTTGAACTAATGTGATCAAAAAGACACAGAAATAAAACAGCTTTGTCATATGAAATAAATTTAAATACTAACCTGTTCCCTATGTAGAATGGACTGGACAGGTCCTAAAGAACTGAGCTCTGATACTCCTTGGGTAGGGTAAATTAATTCCAGGAAGTTAATTCAAAAGAATTACTTTTTCATTACACCCCCAACTACTTACCTAACACACTAACAAAAACATCAAAAAAGTGAAATGTGAGCAGAGGTTCTTTCATCTGGCCAAAGTAGTCCACTATAGTTTTGAAGACATCTCTTTCAAATCCTGAGTATGTAGGCTGCTTCAGATCTGAGCAGCTGGGCCCTACAAAGAGAAGAAGGGGAAAAGAAAAAAAAAAAAGAAGAAAGAGAAAATAAATTTGCAGCCACCAACAAGATCACTATTTTTTATTCCAGTCAATAACAATGCAATGTCAAGTAGAAAAAAAAACCCAAAACTTAGACTCATTCTTCAAAATATAAGTGAAATTGTATTGATCTATTGAATTATGTATTTTCAATAGGTCTAGTGAAAACACATAGTAGACAAACAATATTAATAGAGTAGTTAAGCCTTTATATATTGCATTGAAATAAGCTGCAGTAGCAGGAGAATATATGCTGGCTGATCTTTTCCTACTTTAAGGCAATGACTAAAAAATGCTGACTGTGAATATAAACAGCATTTGATAGAGCAGTAAAGGCAGAGTCAGTTCAATTTATTTTTATGGGGGTGGGTTGTTTGGGTTTTTTTTCCCCCTCCTGAATTTACTTACAATTTGCTAGACATTTCATTGCTGATAATATCCAGTGAGGTAGTTCCTCTGCATAGGGGAGAAGCAGACAGAAATTAAAAGGAGAAAAAACCTGAGAAAAATGTTAAACTGTAAGATAAAAGTGAAGCTGAAAATTCTTTAAGAAGTTCCTCTCATATAGTAGATTGACTGATTGCAAAGGCAGGTTATACCTTAATGTAGGATCTAGCTTGAATTACATCAATACTTTAGTACCTCCAGTACTCAATATCAACCAATTATGCCTACCGCTCCTACAACTCAAGCAAAATGGATCATATCACAAATCCTTCACCTGTCTTGCAAAAATCAGCCAAACTAGTTCAAGCTACACCTTTACTAGTGCATTACAGTGAAGTGTTTACTTTGCACTGAAGGTGATGAAAAGCACTTGTGCATTCAGTTCTGTCATTTCTGCAAGGAGGAAGTTAATATCTTGAGGTACTCTATCTTTAAAATGAACACGTGCATGCTTTGGAGGAGGTTTCATTCACAAACCAAACCAGGTTCCAATCTCATATTTCACGTCTCTGCAAATCTTGTAGAAACATGGTGGCAATAATGTTGTGATATATCATAGCAGCAAAGATACTTTACTTTCTCCCTGATATGCAAAGCAGTTTTAAACTTGGTACAAGTTTCAAGACACATTGACTGAAAACTCGAAACTGAGAAATTTTAAGTATCTCTCTGTGTACATTTTGATTGTTTCCCAATTTTTAATACACATTTCCCTCATGTAAACACTCCAGTTCAGGCAGTTAAGGGCTGGGCTGACAAAGCTAGCTTGAAGTGAATAATATCCCTATCTTTATAAATGAAAAGTTGCTGCTTTTTCACTTTCATCTTTCAACCCTGCTAAAGCAGAAAAATGTTTAAGAGAGCAAATATGGAATAGACACTGATTCTTACTATTGGGATGTCAAAGGACAACAATGGCATACTTTGTAAAAACTCTACTATAGATGTGGTCATACAAGTATAAAGATGCTATATGTTAGTATAGATTTGAACTAATACGTTTTTTTTATAGTAATAAACTACAATATAAAAACGTTAAATGAAAACTTCTAAAATACTCACTTGATTTGTCTTCTAAAGCGACAATGCCTTGCTTATTGACGTTGTATGCATTTTGGACTATATGCTTTGAATTCACAAGTTTGGTGTCTAACACTTCATCCAGAGAATCCAAACCCAAGACCTTTTGCAATCTGTAAAAATACATAAACACATAGTTCATACATCAACTAATCTGAAAAAGGCAGATATATAGTATTAGGATAGACACGACTCTGAAAAAGAGACCTCTCCATTTCACAGAATCATAGAATATCTCAAGTTGGAATGGACCCATAAGGATCATTGAGTCCAACTCCCTGCTCCATGCAGGACTACCTAAAACTAAACCATATGACTAAAAGTATTGTCCAGATGCTCCTTGAACTCTGACAGGCTTAGTGCCATGACTACTTCCCTGGGGAGCCTGTTCCAGTGACTGACCACCCTTTT